GTGCTGATGCCCAGGAACCGTTAGGCTATGTAATAGAGACAGAAAGGTATATCAGCAGTGAGAAGCAATCCTGGGATGAAGTCTCTCAGGACCTTGCCTCTAAGAGCTCACCCATCATGGATCATACAAAACAGTGGGCCATCTCCAGAAAACATTTACTTGTGTGCCTTAGTCTTTCCTAGATTTGGTCTCACAGGCTTGTTACAAATTTGAGGCTAGTCTAGTTTATACCCACAATTCACTAGCCTAGGTCCTCTCCTTTTTGCATATGTGTGTGATCATGCATGAACACTTCGGTATGGGTTCTCTCCTACCATGTGGATTCTGGGAGTCAAACCAGGTCATCAGGCTTAGCAGCAAGCATCTTTACTTGCAGAGCCACCTGGCAGCCTTTGTCCTCACTTTCCATTCTTGGGATGATTTCTTTTTTTTCTTTTCTTTCCTTTTCTCTTCTCTTCTTGTTTTTTTTTTTTTTTCAGTTTGAGACAGGGTTTCTCTGTGTAGCCCTGGCTGTTCTGGAATGTGTTCCATTGATCCTTGACCAGGCTGGCCTTGAACTTAGAGATCTGCCTGCCTCTACCTCATAAGTGCTGGGATTAAAGGCATGTTCTACAACCCCCTGGCAAGTTTCTATTTTTTTTTTTTTTTTGAGACAGGGTTTCTCTGCATAGCCTTGCCTGTCCTGGAACTCACTCTGTAGACCAGGCTGGCATGGAACTCAGAAATCTGCCTGCCTCTACCTCCCAAGTACTGGGATTAAAGACCTGCACCACCACTGCTTGGCCAGCAAGTTTCTAGTTTTAATGAATCATAATTTCTAGTTCTTAAAAAAAAGAAAAGGTTTGGTGACTCATGCTTGCAATTCCCAAGAATCAGGAGGTTGAAGCGGGAGGGTTACAATGAGTGTGGAGCCAGCCTGGGCTATATAGTGAGTTTCAGGCTATCATAGGCTAGAGAGTGAGAATCTGTTTCAAAATGAAAACAAAAGAAGGGGCTGGAGTGGTTGTTCAATCCATAAGAAACTTCCCTTGCTCGTTCGAGAATCTGAACTTACTCCTGCCCCCTCCAGAATGCGTTTATAAACCCTAGGTGTGAAGTAGGGAGACATCTCAGTGAGTAAAGATGCTTGCCTCCAATCATGATGGAGTTGGAACTCCTGATTCCACATGATCGAAGTAGAAAGCCTAAAAGCTCCTAAACGCTGTTCCCTGGCTTCCAAGGATATGGCATGTGCACCTCCTCAAAATAAAAAGTAAATGTAATAAAAATTTTGAGGGACTGAAAAGGTGGTTTAGTGCTTAAGAGCACATACTTCTCTTGCAGAGGAATTATGGGTGCTGAAATCCTAGAGTGGTTCCCAACCACCTGGCACTGCAGCTCCAGGTGGTCTAATGCTTCTGCCCTCCATTAGTTGCCACACTCATAAACACACATACTTTTCACAAAGTTTATTAAGTGCTGGGTGTGGTGTAGTGTAGTTTTAATTCCAGGATTAAGGAGAAAGAGACAGGAGGATCCATGGGGGCTCACTGGACAAGCAAGACTAATCTAATTGGTGAGCTTCAGGTCAGTGAGAGACCGTCTCAAAGGAGGTGGACAACCTTCCCTAGGGTGACATCCGAGATGATTCTGTGACCACACATGCATACACATGCACCTGCATACACATGCACCTGCATACACATATGTATACATATGTATGCATACAAATGCACACGCACACAAACATGCATACACATGCGTCTGTACACACATACAAACGTACACACATGTGCATCTGCATAGAAACACAAACATTTAAAAAGAACGAGGAGTGTGTGTGAGTAGCACATCTTTAAATCCTAGCACTCAAGAGGCAGAGGCAGGATGGT